TATTCAGTAACTCCTTTAATTTCTACTAACTGTAAGTAACTTTGCCACTGCTGCATGTCAACTCGCAGTCATTAGTAGACTGTCTGCGAAATATCTGCTAACGCTTTATTTCGATGCTCCACTTTAAACTTTGCAAGTCAACCTGTTCTATACTAACCCTAACCTAACAGTCTACTAATACTCGAATGAGCGTTAGCTGACATGTAATGAGAGCTGGTTGAAATGTAGTTGCAAATTTACTTACACTTTACTTTTGGTTAATGCACTGAATTTTCATGACCAACAGAGCTCAATGTGAAATTTGTGTGTTGAATGCAATCAGGTTAGATGCCATGCTGGATTTAACCTGGATGAAAACAAGGCTGTGAGGGACAGACTTGGTCTCTGCAATTTTATATGCACTATTTAGAGGTCCTTGATCACGTAACTCAGATAACTTAGAACTGTTTTATAAAGCTTTTGCCTATTCCTTTTTTTTTTTCCAGTAAGACTGTTCATCACCTGAATACTCGGTTTGTTTTTAAATAACAGTATAATCCATTGAAAAAAACTGTATTTCTGTCCCTCATTTTCATTCCTGTCAAAAATGAAATATGACACTACCCTAACGATGTTCTATTGAAATGACTAGATTTTGCCAACGAAAATTCACCAACACAACAATAAATGTGAGCGCACTTGGATGCTTTTGGATCTCTTGGATGCTCATATTAGATATTGCATCTTTATTTACATGCACATCTTCAGGAACCTATTCACCTGCATGCTTATTAAATATGAATTTGTTTAAAGTGCTAATCTGTTCTACATCAAGACTTTCTGTTCACATCTGTCGTGATGAACGGTGTCAAACAATGTTAGAGAGGGAAGTTCAAAGTCACTCGCGAGATCAAAGCTTATTGTTCATCCTCAAGTTTCAAACCCATACTATGGTAATAGCACTCACGGTTCCTTGACAGTGACTTGTGGATGTGCATGTCCTTGTGCAGATAAGAGAGGGGTGTGGAGGGATGCATTAATGAGAAGAGGATGTGTGTCCCTCCACACACTTCCTGATCAGGAGCTCAGCCCTCTCCACTTGGCAGACACTTTGGAAGCTTTTTTTGTGAAGCGCATCCAAAAACACCCCAGTGGTGCTGGCACTGAGAGGGAATATCAAAGTCATTTCTGAAAAACAAGCCTGCTCAGATGAAAAGCACTGGAACATTCCTTCCTTGCTCAACTCTCATGTTCTGTTTCGCATCTGAGAGACTGGATCAGGTAGAGCAGCACTGATTATATGCAACATGTGTATAAAAATGATAGAAAATGAATTCATTTTGAAGTTCTTCTGAGTGGTGTACTCCGAGATACCACTTGTGAAAAAGAAGTGTGCCTAATTGTATTAAATGTGCACTTGTAGCAGACTTAAGTGCGTATTTTAAAAAACTGTATTTACAGATAATATAATATTAAAAACAAAAACCACTTACAGGAACGCACTTTCATGAAAATGCTTAAGCACACTTTTATGTGCACTTTTGTAAAGTTTTGCTTTAAAATATATAAAATGATATATAAAAATATTATTATATCAATTATTAGGATTTATTGTTTGTCATGCTTTGAAGAAGTACACTTATTTTGATATGCTGACTAAATACTAAATCACAGGTAAAATATTGATTATGATTTTAACTGTAGTGTGTTATATTTAAACAATGTTATATTTATTTTAAATGTACTAAACTGCAACTTCATCATTACAAATGTGTAAATTCAAGTTTATTTAAACACGTCTCAGTGCAAATGACATAAAAATATAAAAATAACAATAATAAATAATTTACCATAAATGAAGTAATTATAATATTATATAACCAGATGTACTTAAGTGGGTCAAAAACATGTTCATCTTATTGCCTTTAATATAAATTTAAACTAGAAAGCATTTTCATTTAATACAATTAACATGCAATTTAGTTCGTTTAAAACATTGCATTCAGTTTGCACTTACGCATATTACTGTATATTATTTCTGTAATAAGTTCCTTTTTTCGAAGTATGCTAAAGTGTACTTTTTTACCTGCCAGTTTATTTTCATTTACTGTTATTATTCATTTATTTTGCCAGTTTCACAATCTCATCCCGTAAATCTGTCAGGCACGGGAGTGAATGTCCAGGAGAATGGAAAATGTCCGGGTTTCATCACAAACTTTCTGAAAGTGCACAGATGCATGTACTGTATACCCACTGTCCGGTCTCTGCTGCTCCCATCCCCCTAAAATACGCCCACCCTGCTCCGTCTGGCATCTGGGAGAAGCCAGACATCTCCCACACAACTGACGTTCCCATCTCAAATTCCAAGGAACAAAAGAGGCTGCCCACAGCCGGCCTGCAGTGCTCCAGCGGACACAGGGCCCTTGGCAGAAAGCCACTCACTGTCAAGAGGACAAGAAATAGATCCCCCCTTTTTGACAAAATGAAGAGAGCAGGGGTGAGTACCCCCACCTCTTTAAAGGAATGTGTTAATAATTCACTTCATAAAGATGAAAAGGCCTTTGATATGATGAGGAGAAAAAAAAAGCATTAACATACAGTATCTCAAAAGGCTCTTTCCTGTTCACATGCAGTGTATTCTAGATTTCCAGTTCCTGTTTGTTCAAAAAAAATGCTGTACACAGCAGGACACAACAGAGTCGCAGTTCACGGTCATGTTTGATCAAAGTGTGCTGACATAGAAATCTTACAGTTTATACAATATACAGTTTGTTTAAGACCTAGCAGTCGTGATGTTTGATCTTTGGTGGATTTGTTGACTTGTGTATTATTATCTATTAAATATTTGCCTTTCGTCGGTGCGCCGATATGTGACCCTGGAGCACAAAAGCAGTCTTGAGTCGCTGGGGTATATTTGTAGCAATAGCCAACAATACATTGTACGGGTCAAAATTATCCATTTTTATTTATGCCAAAAATCATTAGGATATTAAGTAAAGAACATGCCCCATGAAGATATTTTGTAAATTTTCTACTGTAAATATATCAAAACTTAATTTTTGATTAGTAATATGCATTGCTAAGAACTTCATTTAAACAACTTTAAAGATGATTTTCTCAATATTTTGATTTTCTTGCACCCTCAGATTCCAGATTTTCAAATAGTTGTATCTCAGCCAAATATTGTCCTATCCTAACAAACCATACATCAACGGAGGGCTCATTTATTCAGATGATGTATACATCTCAATTTCAAAAAATTGACTCTTATGACTGGTTTTGTGTCCAAGGTCACCTATATAGCGCAAATGTGCTCACGACGTCCCGAGTTCGATTCCCGTCCAATCAAGGCATAAAAGTCCGTAAATGTAACTTTATAAAGAAAATTAATTTTTTGATTTTTAACATGTTTAAGATTTATTCCTTGGTGGTATTTTAGTCAGCGTATATCCATAAAAAATAGCAAAATTGTAATTTTTTTATTTTTTATCATGACATCATATTTCAGGACGTTCTGTTTGATTTCATCTGTTTAGATGAGAATGTTTATTTACAATAATTGCTCCAAATTCCGGTGTTCCAGACCAACAACTTCAGCTAGGATAGAGTTTGCAAATATCAAAGAACCTCATCATTTACATCTGACAGACAAATACTGAAATGGTGAATAAAATACTGAGTAATACGTTTAATTTAAGGCTGAATAGCCTATGTTAGCATCTCTTGAAATTTGACATAATTGGGCTTCACTTGTTTTGCTGCGTATCGCGCCATCTGCTGGACCAAAGGTGATTCAGTCATAAATGGTACACTGATTTTGTAGAATTGAGTTCCTGCTGTGTGGAGGCTGTATTTTTAATGTAGTATTTTGTATTTTTGAACAAACACCCTGCTGTTGGTTTTTCAAAATTGTGCTTAAGCAATCGTAAAAAACTGTAATGTATTTTAATAACTAATGTAAAATGTTACCTTACTTTCTCTTAGATTTCTGTGTGTCCAGAGTTAAAACCATTTTAATTATTGTTTCGGAACAAATCAAAGAACTACAGAGGTCTGAAAATGCTCCAGGTTACTTTAATCAAATATGATATGCTTATTTTTTATTCCATTGTGTTTCAATCGAGAGTGAGACTAAAGGACATTTTTATTTCTCTATGTTCATATTTTAGTGCATCCAAGAAAACAATCAATAAATGACTTTATTTCTTCTGAAAGCATTTTTTGAAATCGTATCGCAATGCAGCCATACATGTTCAGTTTGCTCAGTATCATTTATCAATCTCATCAAAGTGAGGAAGAGCAAGATTTGAATGTGTCATGCCATGCTGTTCAGTTATCGAGCTTGCGCGAAGTCTGGAGCGACTGAATCAAGCTGACAAATCACAACGGATATGCAATGAATTCACATATAGGACAGCAGAAACATGGAGAAAACAAATCCTAAAAGATTACTGATGAAGACCTTGCTTAGGCTGTCGTAGATGACATGCAAAATATATGCTTACATTGTACCTGGTCATGAGAAGTAGACACTGTCCACACAGAGAATGAATACCAGCCTGTTTTAACACTCAACTTTTTAACCATACACTCGATGTTAAAAAAAATAGAATTTGGCACTTAGATGAAGACAAAAACCCAGTAAATGTGAGAGAAGGAATGAAAATACTGTATACATGTTTAGCTCTTGACTGGTCATCCTATTGCTGTTACATCTAAAATACTGACTTGGCTTCAAACACAAAACACTGATGTTCTTTCTAAACATGCTTTTAGAAGCAAAAAAAGCATTCTTGCTTATTAATCCAATTTGTACAGTTTCTAACAAAAATAGCTTGGAAGAACAAATACTACAAGGAGAGTTATTGCTTTAAATTATTAAAAACAAACTGCTGTCAATCATCTAATTAGAATTTGCACCAGTGATGGAGGATAACATATATAAACAACAGATATTATCATGAAAAATGTCAATGAAAACATTTCAAAAATTACTATACCACCTTATATGGACGGACTGTTTTGAAATACTGTGCTGTGTAATTGTACATGTTTGCTCATCACTGAGATATGTCATAATAATAATGCCGCAATCTGGGTTCAACTACTGAAAATCCAGGTCTCTCGTCCGGCCTGCAGAAACAGAACACAACCATTTATTCTTCTTCAATGTACTGAATTGAATTAATCCTTATTACACATGATTCTGTATAATAAATAAAATGATATCATTTATTGCTTATAAGCAGCGTTCTAGCTTGATCTCCTATCAGTATGTTCATGTGCAGGATATTAAAGACTGCTAGCATAGTGCACTGCAAGTCATTTGTCTTTTAAAGTTATGGAACGATTGTGAATGCAGAATTGTGCTGATATATCCAGTAAACGTACCTGTATGTCCAGCATTTCCTCATGAGGTCGTACATCTCAGGCGGGCAGTCGGCTGGAGCGGACATTCTCTCTCCACTCTCGATCATTTGGATGACTTCATTTCCTTTCATACCCTACAGACAATATGGAATAAACCAACATTGCTAAAATAAACGCTCATTTTCAAACACCGGCTCACGGCTGGTGGTTAAACGGATGGATGTGCAGTTTGCGATTTAGATGATATTCAATATACAGTATATATGTCAATATTATTTTAGGGGATCCTAAAGCCCACATACCATACTGCATACAGTTTATTTAATGCTATTGAGTTTATTATATTGAATAAAACAAACAAAGTCCAGTGTGAATGTAGCTATAGTGGCTTATGAGCCACTATGGACTAAGTTTGCGAGGTTAAGTTCATTAATATTGTGTATTATTGTATTAGGTATCATGAACTAACAAAGACAGTATTTTTGGAGGTTTTATTAATCCCGGTTAATGTTAATATATTACTGTGTTCTAATACATTTTTAGCACTTCATGTTGTATAAACTAACATTAGTTAATGTATTATGAACATTCATTATTTCCATTTACATATAAAAATGAGATAGAATAGAAATAGAATAGAGAGAGCTAGTGTTACAGAGTCAAGTTATTATTTTATAATAAATAAAAAGAAAGTTTTTTTAATGAATAAAAAGTAAATAGAATAGAAATAGAACAGAGAGTGCTAGTGTTAGATGGTCACGCTTTTTTTAATAAATAAAAAGAAAACAAGAATAGAAATAGAATTATTAATTATCATTCAATAACAAAGAACAATAATATATTTATAAATAAACATTAACTTTGATTGTTTATTGTCATGATAGCTAAAGCATTAAATAGTATGAATGAATTGAACCTTATTGTAAAGCATCACCACGAAATAGAAGAATTTCATTTTGTTAGTTTATGGACGGCTATTCAGATTTCTTTAAGAAAATTTGGGAAGTAGATTCAAAAGGTTTGCTCAAATGCAGATTTACCATGCAAAACTAAAACAGCAATAATATAGGTTTTCCACTGTCACTACATGAATACCAGAAAGAAATACAGAGTTCTGGCATGAAACTCTAGATGGCGCAGTCCGATATATTGTTAGGCATTAAAAGCATTGTGACCATTTTCAAACATATTCACTTATTGATATACTCAAACATCAGTATATCACCCAGCCTGATTAACAATAGAAAATATGTCTTGGGAGCAACATAATATGCATATTCACACCTTGTACGGTTTCTGTCCGAGTGAAAAGGCCTCCCACATCAGGACTCCAAAGCTCCACACGTCGCTCTTGGACGAGAACTTCAGGTAGTTCATGCACTCGGGAGCGTACCACTTCAGCGGCCATTTCCCATGACCTTTGGCCTACAGGAGCACAAACAAAGATGAGTCAGGGCTACGCTCTGCTTAAACCCCCATTCTACTCTACTAACATGAAGCTTTGTAATGAGGGTATGTACTGTAGATCTAAAAGGGCTTTCATTCTTACTTGGTATATGTGATTAGTTCCTGGTGACTATACCTTGTAATAGTTCTCCTCTTCTGTCAGGGCTTTAGAGAGTCCAAAGTCGCTGATCTTGGCATAGTGCTGAGTGACTAAAAGCACGTTCCTGGCTGCGAGATCTCTGTGAACAAAGTTGTGCTCTTCCAGATATTTCATTCCCATAGAGACCTGATGAACCAGCTCTGTGATGTTCTTCACAGAGATGTGTCTGAAAACACACAAAGTGAAAAGCTATTAACAATTAACAATACTACTATTGTTTATGACTTAAAGTTCAGTCATGAAACTGCACAAGCTCAAGTCTCCTCACACGGACCAAAACCAAAAACCAAATACATTAACTTCTCAAATCCATGAGGTGGATTGTATGCAAAGTGTATTACACTCTTAAAAATAAAGATGCTTAAAAGGTTCTTCACAGCGATGCCACAGAAGAACCATTTTTGGTTCCAAAAAGAACCGTTCAGTCAAAGGTTCTTTAAAGAACCATCTCTTTCTTACCTTTTTATAATCTGAAGAACCTTCTTTCGCCACAACGAAACAGAAATGTTCTTCAGATGTTAGTTAAAGGTTCTTTATGGAACCATTTAGACAGAAAGGTTCTTCTATGGCATCGTGAAGCACCTTTATTTTTAAGAGTGCCGTGTCATTTTGGTGAAATCAATGCATGAAGCACAGCTCACACAAAAGTCAAACCAAGCAGCTTTCTATTGGTCAATTCGCATAACCAACGCAAGCAACGTCTGCTTAGGGAACTCCTGATCCTGTGTATTTTTATTTAAAAGACTGGATAGTGTCCATAAAATGTCACAGAACAACAGTTTGACCACTGGTTCTTGTCATGTCACTAAATGCAATGCTTACCTGTTATTGAGGGGAACTTTTTCAACTTTACAATTTGTTAACTTTATTTAACCGCAGTAGTTAACTAAGAATGAACAATACTTACACAGCATTTATTAATCATAGTTAATTTCTAAATTCAAAAGTTGTAGCTGTTGTAACTGTGAACAAACATGAACAATTGTTTTTTCTGTTAACTAACATTACCACTTTAGACTAGGGAAAACTATCTATTAACTAGCTGCTTATTAGTATGCATACTACTAGAATTTTTGCTGTTTATAATGGCTTATTCTGCATAACCATATTTTACCCAATACCTAAACATAGCTACTACAACAACTACATTACTTATTATCAATAAGCAGCAAATCAGGAGTTTATTGAGGGAAAATGTGTGAATATGTGATCTAAAGTGTTAGCACATAGAATTTAAAAAATGCTGTAAAAATATATTGATAATTCCATGTTAGCTAATGCATTTACTAATGTTATCAAATGAAAAACTAATTTTCTATGTGCATCTCACACAATGCTACCATGGCTTCAGAAAACCTGGAATACAGTGCACAGTTTTTAGGTATAGCCTAAAATGATGAGTTTTTTACATTTTTGGCTTGTTCACTGTGGTCACTCTGAACTGTTATTGTATGGAAGTCAATTGTGACTGTAGTTACTCCACATTGCTTATCAATGCATATTACTGTATTCACAGTTCAGCACAGCTCTCATATGCTCTGCAGTATTTCTAGCACAGCGTACTTGTTCTTCTGGAGGAACTTGTGCAGGGGCCCCAGCTCAGCGAGCTCCATGACCAGCATGAGGCTCTCAGCTTCACAGATGCCGATCATGCGAACGATGTACGGGTTATCCAGCTGCTGCATGACGCTCGCTTCCCGCAGCATCTCGTCCTTCACCGCCGCGTTATTATCCTCGTTCTTCAGGATCTTAACGGCGACAATCTTCTGTGTCCTGAATCAAACATAAGGGAAGATCCATTCGTGTTCAAGTCATGTCAGAAATCGTGTTTATGAGCGCACATGAACGGGAAACTCAACACTTCTGCGATACATGAGGAAGCAGAACACATTTCCCATCATACTTTGTGGCAAGAAAGAAAACAAACAAACACACACAACACTGATTTGTTTCGTTGTTTAAACAATTTCAGGCTTTTAGAATACAATACCAATAAGTAATTATTTTGATTGCATTTTTTAAGAGTGAGAATAACGGCTTATAAGATCTTGCATAATGGTTTGATTTACTGACACTGAATTCTGACTACTTTGGGCAGCATTTACAGATTTGATATCCTTAAAGGGGTCGTATGATGCTGCTAAAAATAACATTATTTTGTGTATTTGGTGTAATTAAATGTGTTTATGCGGTTTAAGGTTAAAAAAACACATTATTTTCCACATACTGTACATTATTGTTTCTCCTCTATGCCCCGCCTTTCTGAAGCACATCGATTTTTACAAAGCTCATCGGTCTGAAAAAGCGAGGTGTGCTCTGATTGGCCAGATATCCAGTGCATTGTGATTGGCCGAGGAAAAATTGAAATCGCATCATATGACCCCTTTAAAATAAAAAAAATCCTCTTGGTCGACTAACTTTTTCATCTGGTAGACTCCTCTCAGGACTGTGCCGAAGTTGCCTGAGCCCAACTCTCCATCTTCCAGAGTCAGGTCGCTCCGCTTCACTGTCGTTGACCGCAGCTCTTCAGGATCTGCATATGGACTCTCGTACACCTGTGTGTCCATTGGCATAGCCTCTGCCAAAACAATAGTGTGAGCGTTTAGTCAGAAGAGAACGATTTTAGACTTAAAGATCATTTAAACAAGTGGTGGTGTGCTGAAGCAAGTCAACTAACCTGTGTTGTTGAAGATATTAGGCTTAGGAAGTTCACCTCTGAGGTTTGATCTGAAGTTATATGGATTTTCAATATGACCCTACAAGCACACGACACGATTACAACTGTGAAAATACACAGATTCGCATAGAAACAGCTGATAGGACACAGGCACGTTATCTGAAATGCCTGCATGCATCAATGGGACAGAGGGACAGGGTCAAACCAAACTTTCCTGTGTTCTTCATGGCACCTTAAATCACAATCGAATGCGTAATTACATTTACTGAGATGTTTCAATGCTAAATGAATGGCAATTCATTATACGTGAGGCGATCAGTGTCCATGAAGAAGAGGAGAAACTTCTTCCAAGGTCAAAAGCCAACACACAGTCTATAAATAAAAAAAGAGATCTCTTGCAAATAGGGTTGATAATTATGTCATTTACATCGTTAAAAAAGAGTGAGACTTCCGGTTCATTAGCTGCTGTAGGGAAGAATAACAAAGTACCGTAAATGGTCAAAAGGTTTGCACTACATACCAGTGTGTTCATAATTAAGATTATACATTAAAATAATATGGCAAGACTGTCACACCAGTTTGCAATATCAAGCAGCAAAACGAGCTGTTTTTTACAGCTAAAAATAGCTGGAAGCGAATGACACCGGAAGCCAGAGACATTACATTTACAAATGTCCATGTCTCTCTTACAGGAAAAATGAGGTGGATAGTGATGTGCCAAATTTCTTTGTTGCTTAATAAACATAAACAGCTGTGTTATGATGGCTCATAGTGACAATGTAAAAGTCTTTACTCTCACTTTTGACCAATTTAATGCATTCTTGCTGAAATAGTTCCTAAAAATAAATGTAGGAACTAGGAACTATAAAAATAGTAAAATTTTAGAATGGTAGTGTATCTAAAAGTAGCTTCATTTTAAAATGATGCAAATATGCTGACTATTCCAGTCTTAGTGGGGGGTTTTTTCTCACTGATGGATGTAAGAGCTAAATAAAATCCACACATTACATTATGCAATTTTTTGAATAAATACTGTAACCAACATTACCAATGCAGCATAGCATAATAAAAATACATTTACAGTTTTGTTTTTTTTATTGTTGAAGAAGAACGTTTTAAGTTTTTCAAATCCTTGCTGGAAAAACATCTTAAACCAGTCTAAGCTGGACTAGCTGGTCTCCCAATTTATTTCCCGAAACCCAAAACCCAGACACGTGAATACTGTAGTATATAAATATATATAGTATATATATTTATATATATAAATAATAGTATCCCAAAACACATTTAAGTACAGAAAAATACAAATAAACTCAAGCACATGTGCCCTGACATACATCCTTTATCCACTTTATTTTGCAAGGCAGAAGTAAGCTATTTTCTTTAAATGTGCGAGATTTCCAATTCATTAGCCACTACTGTAAAATAACTAGAAGAATAACAAAGTGCAGTATACCATAAATGGTAAATCTGCACTACAAACCATTGTGTTTGTGATTTTGCTACTAAATTAAAAAAATACGATGACAAATACAAGTTTGCAATACCAGGAGCTGTTTTTGTAGAGCTAAAATAACTGGAAGCAAATGACACCGGAAGCCTCGCACATTAAAAATAGTCATGCCCACACTTATGTTAAAAATAAGGTGGATAGGCAATCAAGGTGGGTCAACAAAAAATGTGCAACCATTGCTTTAATTGATCTGATGTCTGTATATGAATGTGAAGAGTTATTGCTGGTGATTGGATGTGATGTACAGGGCAGTGAATGGAGGAAGAGATCAGAGAGGGGCGCAGTTAGAAGCAAAAACCACACGCAAGCAAGGCGGGTGTCCTACCACTGCCACTGGGGGGTAGGGAGGAGGAGAGGGGTGGGTTAGAAATGTGCGAGATTTCCAATTCATTAGCCACTACTGTAAAATAACTAGAAGAATAACAAAGTGCAGTATACCATAAATGGTAAATCTGCACTACAAACCATTGTGTTTGTGATTTTGCTACTAAATTAAAAAAATACGATGACAAATACAAGTTTGCAATACCAGGAGCTGTTTTTGTAGAGCTAAAATAACTGGAAGCAAATGACACCGGAAGCCTCGCACATTAAAAATAGTCATGCCCACACTTATGTTAAAAATAAGGTGGATAGGCAATCAAGGTGGGTCAACAAAAAATGTGCAACCATTGCTTTAATTGATCTGATGTCTGTATATGAATGTGAAGAGTTATTGCTGGTGATTGGATGTGATGTACAGGGCAGTGAATGGAGGAAGAGATCAGAGAGGGGCGCAGTTAGAAGCAAAAACCACACGCAAGCAAGGCGGGTGTCCTACCACTGCCACTGGGGGATAGGGAGGAGGTGAGGGGTGTGTTAGTGCACCTTTTTTTGGCCAGGTTTGGGGAAGGAGTATGATTTGATTCTGGAGAGAATCCCACCTGTGGCACCTAGCTAGAAACCACAATTTTAAAGAGCATTAGGTTATTTTTATCCTACACTATTTGATACTAATGTTTAATGCTATACATCCATGACCCATTCTTCAATAACTAGCTCAGCAAATTCACTAATTCAACGTACATTCAGCAACATTTACATGATAGCATTTGCAGTTGCCCTTGTGTTAAATGGATTTGTACGGTCTAGCTCAGTGGTTCTCAGCAGGCTTTACTTCAGGACACAGATGTAACACTGGACGTCAAGTGGTGACTTTAAAATCAAATGTTGAAATGTATTATGTAAACTGCATAAACCTTTAGGAAATGTCACATTTGAATGAATACGCTGAATAAGAATATGAACGGTTTTGGTTTCTTAATGTCGTTAACTCCAGAGGTTTCATGCTCTTGGCAGCCAAACAAATTGTGGTCAGAACATATAATGTTGATCCCTGATGTCCTCAATCATTCATAATCTGCGTCTTCTTCTTCTTTTTTCACCTCATTTTTTGAGGATGAGGAAATGTAATAAGCTTTATTTTGCTTTGCTGTCCGGAACATGGTGATGGGAAAAAAAATTAGATGAGAGAGAAAATTATATTTCAGTGCGTTTGTGGTTACTTGCAAAGGTTTTGCATTCCAACAAGAAACGTTGCAGCTGTTAGCAAAACTTTTGTGTTCCTTGAGAACAAATGCAAAGTTTCTTGGACAAACTTTCCTTGTGAGCAAGTGCAATGTTTCTCAGAGGAATGCATCATTTTTGTGAACGAATGCAAACATTTTTGGGGGAAATTTTGCCTCGGAGGAATGCAAAACTTTCATGAATGAATGGGAAATTAATTACGCAATTTTTTTCCTGTTCCTTACAAGAAAATGCAAAGTTTCTTGAGGGAATCCCACATTTTTGCAATTAAACACCAGAATCTTTTCTATCTTGGAGGAATTTTTCCTCCCATCTCATATTGTTTCCAACACCATGTCTGTAAATTATTTAGTTAGTTGCATTTTATTATTGCATTTAGTCTTGCATTTAGTATTGCATCCTTCCCTATTGTCTGTGACAGCACTTTTGTGTCACGACCCACCAGCTGAGAACCACTTTATTTTCAATTTACACCAAGTTTAATGAACTGTTAAAAAGTTCAATTAAAATTGTGTGTTTTATATATATATATATATATATATATATATATATATATATATTCAGTGAAACAATTAACAATTATCTGTGGATATTTTAAACAGTACAACAGTCCTGAATGTGAGTGTTTTATATAGTCTGACATGTCAGTGCAATTTAAATAAAACAGACAATGCCCCTTTTTACAATATGTAATATAAGTCTCAGGGGTCCCCAGAATGTAACTGTGAAGTTTCAGCTCCAAATACCCCACAGATTATTTATTATATCATTTTTCATTTTGAAAATGCCTATTTTGAGTGGAAGCAGAAACACTCTGTATTAGAGCATGTCTCTTTAAATGCAAATGAGCTGCTGCTCCCCGCCCCCTTTTCCAGAATAGAGCTGCGCCATTACAGCTCGTACCTGCTAAAAAACATCTGTTTTGGTTCTGATTATCATGTTT